GACTAGAAGACAGCAACACAGTCGGATAGAGCAAACGACTTTTGTATATATTGATTTGTCCAGAAAAGATCATAGTGCATAGCCACAGATTACACATTTTATGAGATAGTAACCAAGGACAATTAGGCTGAGCTGAGGGAAAGTTGAGGATTCGTTTTCAGTCAAGAAAGATCCAAGTCTTCCGATTCCTTTTTGTATATTTCACATATGTTCATCTCAGAAAGGGTTTGTCCCCAAAAAGCCGAAAGATGTAGCCAAAGAGGGGCAAATGGGATATCAGGGGCATTATAAAACACTAAAATACGCCATCCAACAGAAAAACATCTCCATCTGAACATCTTTCTCCCCAAACACAGAGAGAGAGAGAGAGGACCCGCACCCCTTGTAGCCAAAACAGACCAAACTGGGGAAATGGGATAATAGGGCACCCTTCTACCATGTCAACCAATACCTCTCTATCTCGCACACACACACTCACACACACGTTTGTAAACATCCGATGAAATTTCATAAACACGTTCTCACACCTATATATTCACTGCCACACGCACGCACGCACGCACGCACGCACGCACCATACTCCAATCACACACACGCGCACACACTGGATGAGGAATCTACGAGAATACTCTCCTAAAGAGAGACCAGCCACTCTCCTCAGCGCCGTCCTAAAAGGGATGAACATCCTCCACGAAACTGTCGTCGTCCTCTTCTTCATTGTATTTTTTAAGAATCTTCAAAATTCATTTAATTTGCTAGACATTTTGTTTGTAAATCAGAACAGAACAGAACAGAATTTTATTTCAGTAACAGGCCTCCGGCCCAAAATACATGTGTACATAAATTAGATGATAAGTAGAGCACATATATATTTCATTTAGATTTGTCTTTTGTCAGTCAAAGTATAAAATAGACATACATCCTTGATAATATTATAACATTTTTACTCTGTAATATTGATATAAAATTAATAATTGATGGACATTTACTAAAATATTTTTGATATGTACTTTATTTCTGATATGAGAATATGCATCACAGATATAAAACACATGCCATTCATCTTCAACAACAAAGATACCACTTGAATTTACAAAACAGGCAATGCCTTTTTCATTATATAGCAACATCAAGTGTATCTGCCCGTTTCAACTGCTAGTTTAAAATTACAGCACCGAAATCGGGCATATATAGTTTACAAATATTGAGGGATAATCATTTATTTATCAAGTAGCTCTCAACATTTAACAAAGATTTGAATTGCTTATAGTAGGGCATTTACGGTTACTGTGCAAAGATGAATGCCAAGATTGAAATAAATTATCCACGTAGTCTCTGTTTAAATGATTCCATAAATATTTTGTGATCACCAATTTCTTGACTTATCCAAACAAATCCAAAGCCAAATTGAAAAAGAATATTTTTAATTTAGTTGTCCATGAGTTTCGTCCTACCCTGTCTAAAAGATAATAGCATAAAATAACATTGTTTTGGTAATCTATAGTCAGGCATGTTTAGAAGTCTGCACCAGTATTTCACTGCATTGGTTGTGTAAGTAAACTGTAAAGGCACTCTTCCACATTCACCCAAGACCATATTGTTTACAGGTGGATTTCCCAAGTTTCAAAGACATATTTACAGAATTTAATATGGACAGATTCAATGGTATTACAGTAGGGATGTGCCCCAGATTTCCAGACCCATAACAGAGAATGGGTGATATCAGCACAATCAAAGATTTTAAATAAATCTGTACAATTAATGCTGCCAAGTTTCCTTTGGAAATTTTTAACAGAGAATATTGCCTTACTAGCTTGTGATGCAAGGCAAGATGTAGCCTCTACTCCAGGATAATTTAGGAGTTGAACATAATTCCAAGGTACTTGTAAAGGATACAGTGTCAATAACATTGCCATTATAAAACCAATTTTCATATGCAGCTGCAAGGGACCACCATTTCTAAAAACAATAATCTTGGTTTTCTTTAGATTCACATTTAGATTTATGTTGTAAATCCGCCACTATGAAAGCCTGAAAAAGCTAGTGTGCTCATTTACTGTGAAGATGCCGTGTTTATCAACTTTAGTATGTAAAGGGTGGATTCAAAAGTGTGGGTGTAAAACTGGTTTTAATGTTATTTATTATATATATATATATGCATGTGTCGATAAAACATAATGGAAAATTGCATTAGTGCACATTTATTTTGTTTGCCATTTTAATGACAACATGATATTATGGTGTCGCTTTTCTGATGTTCTGCATCAAAGTTTTTCTTTGACTACATTTTCAATGTTTAAAATTCTCCATTGGCTCCTCAGTGAACACACAATCAGGGGACATCACTCTAAAAATCTTTGCTTACTGTTATATTACTTCCGGTACATGTGACATGTAAACAAGAGAGTGGGTTGGGTTTGGCATGTACATTTTTCATTTGTCCAGTCTTCACTTGTGATGAGATAAGTTGGCTGGATATGGCGGAAAGCTGGTTGACCATATCCACGGTGAAACGATTTGGACGACATCCATAAACGCAGCTGCTGTATTTTTCAGTGCTGTAATGCATCGTAAAACAGATGTTGTATCACCATATCATTATCAGCTTGGCTGCTAGAGGGCTGCTGATTAAAATGATGATCAAATTTCTGATTTATGTACTGTGTATGCAGACATAGAGGGTTTTCAGCAGAACACCCATTTGTTAATTCACGTTATCATGAATTCCGTCAAAAATTTGAAAAATTCTAAAAATATCAACTCTCTTATTTCTTTTATTAATAGTCTATTTGCCTGGCATACTATTAGCAAAGCAATACAACGAGTGCCAGCCTATCATCAATGAAGGGTTTTGCTAAACAGTGTTGCAAAGCCAATGGCACTGTTAAAATTATGTTTTAGTCCTGCTATCATTGAAAATCATGATGAGTCACATCTACCTGGTGCCAGCCTTCTCCCTCATGCTGAGCCTTCTCCCTCATGCTGGAGCCTATACTATAGTTCATATAAATAAAGTTGTATTCCAGCCAAAGCCAACATCGGCAGACCTTGGTATAGTGCTAAGTTGTCTAGATATATGCTGAACTAACTAAAGCCCTATAAATACACTTATGCGATCCATTTCTTTGTTGTTGTTGTTTTCCTGGACAAAATAGGATGTACCGTAAACGTTTTTAAATGATTCAAAACATGATGACAAAGGGTGAATGAAGTATCCACAACGATATAGTGGTGCGGCTTTATGTTTCTACTTTTGGAATTCCTTGAATATACTTGTTATTAAGAGAAATAGGTAAGCTTTAGCTTCATGCTTTACCGGGTACTTTCTGTCATCCCTGCTTGCCAGGCTAGCTATTCTCGGAAACCTTCGTAGCTCCTACAAACTTCTTAAGCCCATTCTAAACATATTGGCTACTTCATCAAAGTTAAGACTTCTTAGGACTATGAACGTTTCAAGAGTACGGGCCCAGGACCTCCAATAGAAATATCCTCAATTCTTTATACAGAAAGATATCATATCAGAAGAAAAGATATGATTTTATAGAGGTTGCTTTGGACACAGAAATGTTTATTTAGTATCATTATCTTAAAGAATACTTTTATTTCATCATGCAAGATCTCCACCATCCCTTGTCAAGTTAAGTTGTATCACATTTATTTCAGGTTAGATTTACTGGTGAACCTGTACAGACCTATGATGGGATAGAATCAAAGATGAATACATAAGAAAAGAGTTCCTGATGAGCCATGTAGTTGAAGAGAAGGAGTCATAGCCGCACCACTGGTAGAAGTTGTATCCCGCAACATGCAGCACTCGTTGTTTGAAATGACGCGGCTGTTGTCGCTGAGTCAGGAGACACGTGGCAGTGTCAAGCCAAAGAGTTCCATCACGCAGTACGCGTGGAAGGAAGAAGGAGAGGTCAACATGCTGGCGTTGGCTTGTTCAAATGGTACATAAATCTTGACCAGAATCTGTTCACCAAAGTGAACACATGCAAATCTTGTGCTCAGGCAATTGTAAATTCAGTACTTTTACAACATAGGTTTACATCTGCGACCAATTCAATACTTTAACATAGGTTTACATCTGCAATTTACACCAATTCCTATGTCATCGTATCCCAATTACGTAGATCAGTGCTCATGCTGGATTGCTGCCATATATCTGGAATATTGCTGAGTGCGGCATAAAACTAAACTCACTCACTCACTGATCTTATAGTTACGATTGTCTTTGGCCTAGGTAAAGTATTGGAGTTACGAATGTCTTGCTTTGTTGAATGGGCCCAGATTACAGTCAAATCCGACTGCTGCATTTTGTTTTCTCACCAAGATCTCTTCAAGCAAATTACAAGTAAAACAACAAGAAATCACAGTCTGTTTTGCAAATACTTAGTATTCTATTTGTTGTTGGCACACTTGTTATCCCATGGAACCGTTTCCATAGCAACATCCTACAAATGTATTTCCAACTGTAATCACAAATAGATAGGAAAGATTAATTCCTGATGCAGATGTGTGTATAAGAGTATTTGGTGTTGTATTTTCATTCTTCTAATTATAAATGGTTTACTGTTACTTCATTTACTGAAGCCATTTCTTACACTTTTCAAGGGGCAATGGGGTAGCCTAGTGGTTAAAGTGTTTTCTCGTCACGCCGAAGACCCGCATTCGAATCCCCACATGGGTACAATGTATGAAGCCCATTTCTGGTGTCCCCCGCCGTGATGTTGCTGGAATATTGCTAAAAGCGGTGTAAAACCAAACTCAGTAATTCAGTCAGTCTTACACTTTTCAACACTCACTCACCCACTGTTACTGTTATCTGCTCCATGTCACATGTTGTATTAATATTTTTTATCTATTTTTCATTTATCTATATATATTTCAAGTACTTATTGATGATTTCAGATCAGATTGTGTTGCGCGGTACAGCATTGCTGGAAAACCTCCACTTATTAAACAGTTGTCATGGATACCGAAGTACCACAATTGTGGCAATGTGTTTTGACCCAACAGTGACATGGCTCCTCATCTTGACCCATAACCCAGATATCTACCTGGTGCCAGCCTTCTCCCCTCATGGTGAGTCTTACCTACCTTGTGTTAGTCATGGTGAGTCATATCTACCTGGTTCTAGCCACCTTCTCCCTCATGGTGAGTCACATCTATCTGGTGCCCGCCTTCTCCCTCATGGTGAGTCTTACCTACCTTGTGCTAGTCACATCTACCTCATTGTGAGTCACATCTACCTGGTGCCAGCCTTCTCCCTCATGGTGAGTCACATCTACCTGGTGCTAGTCATGGTGAGTCACATTTACCTGGTGCTAGCCTTCTCCCCTCATGGTGAGTCTTACCTACCTTGTGCTAGTCATTGTGAGTCACATCTACCTGGTGCCAGCCTTCTCCCTCATGGTGAGTCACATCTACCTGGTGCCAGCCTTCTTGCTCATTGTGAGTCACATCTACCTGGTGCCAGCCTTCTCACTCATTGTGAGTCACATTTTACCTGGTGCTAGTCATGGTGAGTCACATTTACCTGGTGCTAGCCTTCTCCCTCATGGTGAGTCTTACCTACCTTGTGCTAGTCATTGTTGAGTCACATCTACCTGGTGCCAGCCTTCTCCCTCATGGTGAGTCACATCTACCTGGTGCCAGCCTTCTCCCTCGTGGTGAGGTGAGGTGAAATTGTGTTTAACGTCGTTCTTGAGAATATTTCGCTCATATGACGACGTGCATCCGTGTGTATGTGTATGTGTGGCTGCTTGTACTAGCCCAGACTGAAGCTGGTTTTATAGTGCTAGCCCACTGAGATACCATGCCGCTGTGAAGCATGAATACCCCACTCAGACACATTATACTGACTCCGAGCCGACACGTCCTTGTTGTACCCATTAACGCTGAGCGCCAGGCAGGGACCAACAAGTACCATATTTTAAAGTCTTTTGGTATGACGCGGTCGGGGATCGAACCCGCGACCTTCCGTTCTCCGGACGGACGCTCTAACCACTACACCACAGAGGCGGTTTCCCTCATGGTGAGTCATATCCATCTGGTGTCAGCCTTCTCCCTCATGGTGAGTCACATCTACCTGGTTCCCGCCTTCTCCCTCATGGTGAGCCACATTTACCTGGTGCCAGTATCACATAAAGTATGTGGTATAATGCACCCCATTCCATCTCATAGTGAAGATCAGAGTTAAAACTGATCTTCAGTAACCCATGCTTGTCGTAAGAGGCGACTAACGGGATCGGGTGGTCAGGCCATGGCTTGGTTGACACGTCATCATATCCCAATTGATCAATGCTCTTGCTGTTGATCACTGGATTGTCTGGTTCTGATTTGATTATTTACAGACCACAGCCATGTAGCAGGAATATTGCTGTTGTTTATGATTATTATTATATTTTCAGGAGCCCAAGGCACGAGTGAACCAACTTTGGAACACAGACGATGTCACACATATCAAACTCCAACAGCCAAAGGGTAATCAAAGCATTCAGTTTTGTCTAAGATCATATTCATGAACACAAAGCAGTAAACCTCATACTCATAGGGTTCTTTTTCTTTTAGAAGGTCGATTTCTTTCAGTTTAGCAAGACCCGTGCAGATCTGGGTTAGAATTTGTCTTTAGCAACCCATGCTTGTCCTAAAAGGCTTACTAATGGGATCGGGTGGTCAGGGTTGCTGACTTGGTTGACACACGTTATCGTATCCAATTGAGTATATCGATGCTCATGCTGTTGACCACTGGATCATCTGGTCCCGACTTGATTGTTTACAGACTGCCGCCATATAGTTGGAATACTGCTGAGTGCGGCGTTAAACAACCAACTAAGACCAGCAGCCAGTCTGTCAGCATTTGTATTCTATAAGGAGATTGAGGTGCCGGGATCAAGCCCACCTGTGCCCAGGTGTAAAACCTTGGAGTCAACTTTGTGTGGAGACTCTTTCAGTGTTGTCACAACCCCTAGTGTACAGTGTACTCTGCTGCACTTCATTTATCAATTTCATTATCACTGGCCAAAATGAGACATTGTCAGTTTCCATTGTATTACTACTGCATTCAACAAACAAGGTGTTTTAGATTGGACTTATTTTATGATAGTTTCAGGGAAATTTTGTTTCACAATCTAATTTATCAGTTTCATTATCACTGGCCAAATGAGACATTGTCAGTTTCCATTGTATTACTACTGCATTCAACAAACAAGGTGTTTTAGATTGGACTTATTTTATGATAGTTTCAGGGAAATTTTGTTTCACAATCTAACCCAACACTGTGCACTTAATAGAACCCACAAATCCGTTGTTAATTGACCAGATGGTAGCCACATGAATATGTGCAAACACCTAGTTGCGGGTACAACAATGTGCAGTTAATGTGGACAAAGTACTGTGACTATGTGTCTCAGTCCATCCAGCCGTGAATGGGTACCTCGTAAGGATGGGAAAGCCACATAAACCTTGTGCGCCTAGTGGCTGCAAGAATTGTATGATCCCCAGGGAGTTGAGATTAATAATACGAAGTGCTGTTGATATTGACGTCATATGATCGAGGGGTAAACAGGGATTTACCTTGAGTCCTGTATTTGAGGGTCCCTGGGACTCATGCTTATAATTTTCAGGGGTCCTGGACAACAAAATGGGGGTCCCAGACACTTAAATATTATTACTAATACTGTTATTGTATTGTTTATCATGATCATCACATTGCTACAGTAATGAAATTGCAAATGATGACATAACCCAGCTTGTAGCAAACTCAGTGATAACTTATTGTTGTTACTTGATTGGAATTTTACAAAAGTATTTGGACTTTTTCTGCATCCCTGTGGATGCTTAATAAATGTCGCTGCATCCATTGTCAATTTTATGCATGATAGGACGAGGGGATTTCGTCGTGTAAATCCCTGGGTAAGCAAAGCGCCTGTGAGCAGCCATTCTGGAGCTCGGCGCTATATAATAGTATAGAGGATGCCACTGTTCATATGGATCTGTGTCTTTTATTTGGGACTGTACAGGATACTTGCTTGACAACGACATTAGAATCTATGTCAAAATGTCGCCTTTCACAGAATAAAGAATTTGTATATCCACAAAATTATCATCATTCTCCCGTACAGAATAGTTTTGTAGCTTGTTCCACCACTCGCCCTGTTACTATTACAATCAGGGTAATTTGATTGGACATCTAGTTTTGAATCTGTTTAAAAACGACGCTAACAAATTTACAGGGATGAGAATTTTCTGCGGATACGCGAATTCCAGGAATTTCATAAGGCCAAGGGTGATTTTTGTGAATCATCTAAATCCGATAGATGCTAACCCCCTGGCTAGGTTTCAGAGTTTTTCTCAAAACTTTATTCTCATCCCTGACTTTATCCAGGGTTTTTATCAGAATAGAAATCAGATATATTACACTGTATAATTAAGTTGTAGGGGGATTTTGTTTATTGCTGCATACAGCATATTTCATATTTTATTATGGTGGTCAGTAAATGATCAAATTCGAGACTTATGTGACTTATGTTGTGAACAAACAATCTATGAGTTATACTCAGTGATATGTATTGTTAATTTCTTGTGTTTCCCACTAATAGTGCTGTAATGATGCATCGAACTATCGATGGATTGCAATTGTTACGACTCTCATTGCAATTAATCGATGGTGGAAACGAAAAACTGTCGATGCATCGATAGTATGTGTGACTATCGATAGTTTAGTAATTGAATTCCGTTGATAAATGCGCAGTGCAAAATACTGGAAGTACCAGATTCATTCACTTTGATTTAGAGTTATCTGCCCCTGTTACCTCTTAAACAAACATGCCATGCGACTCAGAGTTTGAACTTGTGAATAGCAATAAGTTTATGTTTTAACTGTTAACTTGATCTGGGTTTCAAGTTTCTTGTCAGTTATTAACAGAGACTAAAACTACTTCAACTTGTTTTTATTTGGGAAATGACTTCAAATGAGACAATTCAAGGAGAGAAAACTGTTCCCCCTCAATAATCACCCGTATCCACTATCGTAGCTAAGGAATATTGCTTAAAGTCTTTTTGCTAGTCTTCAAATAGCTGAAAATTTTCTGAGTCATCTCATCAGGTCTGGCTGTGACAAACAAACCATTGGAATAGATGTTAAAATTGTGAAATTTCTTTAACACCGTGAATGTATTAATTACATTAAGGTCATCATTTTATTAAGTTGCTGCTAGATAATGTATGTATGTGATATGTGTCAAAGAAAATGTTAGTTTGTACATGAATTTCATTGGAATTGCTAAAATGAAGTCATTCAGAAATATGCTCTCATTACTCCTGTTGTTTTGATAAATGCAGAGACTATTTCTCCATCTGCAGACCGCCTCTGTGGTGTAGTGGTTAGAGCATCCACCCGAGACCGGAAGGTCGGCTGGTTCGATCCCCTGACAGCGTCCAAACCAAAAGACGTTAACATATGATACTTGTTGGTCCCTGCCTGGCTTTCGGCATTAATGGGTACATCAAGGACTGGTCGGCTCGAGTCAGTATAATGTGTCTGAGTGGGGTATTCATGCTTCACTGCGGCATGGTATCTCAGTGGGCTAGCACTATAAAACCAGCTTCAGTCTGGGCTAGTACAAGCAGCACACATACACACGCATGCACGTCGTCATATGAGCGAAATATTCTTAAGCACGACGTTAAACCCAATTTCACCTCACCTCACCTCACCTCACCTCACCTCACCTCACCTCACCTCACCTCTCCATCTGCAATGTTTATGCTCAAGAAGATCTTGAGGTGTGGCGTTGATGAACAAAAGATGTGGACAAATATCACAGTTGTGACATTAGACCTGTGTTTGTCATAAATCAACAATGTCAATAAAGAAGAGGTGTGACATATATGTGCCCCTATGGTGCGTCATTAGTTCCACACCCATTCGATGTTTTGTTCTCGTGTGCTGTCTGTTTTACGCGCTAACACCGCTCATAAAAGGCTGCTACGTAACATTTTAGAACACTTCTATCATTTGAAAGTGCCCCTCTCATCTAGTGTTTTGATCTACATGTGCTGCCTGTTTTAATGTAAATAATGCGATTTTGACAGTGCAACATTAAGAACCCTATAGACCTCATCCAGTGTTGTATTTTAAAGGTGATGTGTGCGTGGTGCACTGGTGGCACACTCTAGACGACCAGCAAGTTGCTGTCATTGGAACTAAGGTATGTGTTTCTCCTTCTCCGGCATACGAGAAAGTTACATATGTTATATTTGGGATTACACGTTCTTAGTAAAGTACAAATTCTAGTACTTTTTGAATTGAGTCCCATCCGGGATTCGAACCCACACCCTCAGAGTCAGGCACCTATCGCCAGCACACAAAGTCAGCCGCCCTAACCCGCCAGCCACGCTTTACTTCCACAAGAATGGAAGTCGGAGAACTGGTAGTCTAGACTCACGGACTTTGTGTACCCCTCTGATAAGTGTTAATTGGCACGGCTCCCACAGCCGAAAGCTATGATTACACAATACCATTTAGAAAGTGGTCAAATGTAACATATATGTTATATTTGGGATTACACTTCTTAGTAAAGTACAAAAGTCTAGTGTAATCCGAAATATAACATATGTTACCTTTGACCTCTTTCTAAATGGCATTGTGTAATCAAAGATAAAGATATGTTCGACTAAGCATTGTCAGGCGATGAGCAGTGTATGAAGTAAGCCCAAACCCCAGCCAGACATCAGGGCTGGTAACTTCAAAATGTTCGATCCCCAACCGCGGTCATACCAAAAGACGTTAACATATGGCACTTCTTGGTCCCTGTCTGGTTCTCGGTATTAATGGGTACAACAAGGACTGGTCGGCTCGGAGTCAGTATAATGTGTCTGAGTGGGGTATTCATGCTTCACTGCGGCATGGTATCTCAGTGGGCTAGCACTATAAAACCAGCTTCAGTCTGGGCTAGTACAAGCAGCCGCACATACACATACACACACATGCACATTGTCATATGAGCGAAATATTCTCAAGCACGACATTAAACCCAATTTCACCTGACCTCACCTCTGGTTTGGTGATCAACCTTCAGTTGCTGGTGATCTATAGCCTGTTGTATATATTGTATTGTCCTTCAGTATAGTATCAGTATCACTCACTCACTCACTCACTGCACAGTGGTTATTAGGTCTCTTTGTACTTTTATTTCCACAATCACAATTGATTGTTTTGAAGGACAGTAGACTTGTAAACTCATTAATACCATGGTTGTAATGATGTTTCATGTTTCCCAGGCCGGAGAGATTATATTTGTGGACTTGTTGCGGAAGAAGACTGTTGCTTCTACTCGTGTTGACACCGCCGTCTTGAAACTTGATCTAGTGATGGATGATCAACAGATGGCGACATCACTACTGGTAACTAGACACGCTGTCCTTCTGTATGTAGTATGATAGCTCACCTGCTTACAGTATTCATTGGTATATTATAAGTTGTTCACTGGTCTCGAGGGGTACATGGGTTCATGTACTCTCGATGTTTGTTTATGTTCCCTGGGCGAAGGGAACATAAAGAAACATCGAGGGTACATCAACCAATGGACCCTGAGGGACCAGTGAACAACGTATTTATCTTACCGAACACCTCAATTGTAATTTTGAACTGTTTGAAACACAGGTATCGGATCATAGTATGGAGTACCAGACGACAAGAAATACAATTTAGAGTTATCTCTCTTCTATCGATTTGCATTCGCAAAACATCGGTAATTTCCGTACATCATACGTGATTCAATGTTATTCGAGATAATGAATTACTACTACGGAGTACCAAATGAGTTCGGCATTCCCAGCGGGGTACATAGGAAATGTTACTCGCTTGTAAGCGGGGTACACTGAAAATAATAGAAGAGCGCTCAGCCAATCAGAAAACGACATTCATGTGTGAGGCAAGATAATAACAGTTGTCTGCTGCTTTCAAGATGTTCCTGACCCGTGAAGATCACGGTTAGATTTGATCTTCAGTAACCCATGCTTGTCTGAAGAGGTGACTAACAGGATGGGATGGTTAGAGTATGTGACTGACCCGTGAAGATCACGGTTAGATGTGATCTTCAGTAACCCATGCTTGTCTGAAGAGGTGACTAACAGGATGGGATGGTTAGAGTATGTGACTGACCCGTGAAGATCACGGGTTAGATTGGATCTTCAGTAACCCATGCTTGTCTGAAGAGGTGACTAACAGGATGGAGTGGTTAGAGTATGTGACTGACCCGTGAAGATCCCGGTTAGATTTGATCTTCAGTAACCCATGCTTGTCTGAAGAGGTGACGAACAGGATGGGGTGGTTAGAGTATGTGACTGACCCGTGAAGATCCCGGTTAGATTTGATCTTCAGTAACCCATGCTTGTCTGAAGAGGTGACGAACAGGATGGAGTGGTTAGAGTATGTGACTGACCCGTGAAGATCCCAGTTAGATTTGATCTTCAGTAACCCATGCTTGTCTGAAGAGGTGACGAACAGGATGGAGTGGTTAGAGTATGTGACTGACCCGTGAAGATCCCGTTAGATTTGATCTTCAGTAACCCATGCTTGTCTGAAGAGGTGACTAACAGGATGGGGTGGTTAGAGTATGTGACTGACCCGTGAAGATCCCGGTTAGATTTGATCTTCAGTAACCCATGCTTGTCTGAAGAGGTGACTAACAGGATGGGGTGGTTATAGTATGTGACTGACCCGTGAAGATCCCAGTTAGATTTGATCTTCAGTAACCCATGCTTGTCTGAAGAGGTGACTCAACAGGATGGAGTGGTTAAGAGTATGTGACTGACCCTGAAGATCACGTTAAGATTTCGATCTTCAGTAACCCATGCTTGTCTGGAAGAGGTGACTAACAGGATGGGGTGGTTAGAGTATGTGACTGACCCGTGAAGATCCCATGCGTTAGATTTGATCTTCAGTAACCCATGCTTGTCTGAAGAGGTGACGAACAGGATGGAGTGGTGGTTAGGTATGCTGTGACTGACCCGTGAAGATCCCGTTTAGATTTGATCTTCAGTAACCCATGCTTGTCTGAAGAGGTGACGAACAGGGATGGAGTGGTTAGAGTATGTGACTGACCGGTAGAGATCCCGGTTAGATTTGATCTTCAGTAACCCATGCTTGTCTGAAGAGGTGACTAACAGGATATGAAGGTGCTCGCAGAGTATGTGACTGACCCACGTGAAGATCACGGTTAGATTGGATCTTCAGTAACCCATGCTTGTCTGAAGAGGTGACTTTAACAGGATGGAGTGGTTTTCAGAGTATGTGACTGACCCGTGAAGATCCGGTTAGATTTGATCTTCAGTAACCCATGCTTGTCTGAAAGAGGTGGCGAACAGGATGGAGGTGGTTAGAGTATGTGACTGACCCAAGTGAAGATCCCGGTTAGATTTGATCTTCAGTAACCCATGCTTCTGTCTGAAAAGAGGTGACGAACAGGATGGAGTGGTTAGAGTATGTGACTAACTCCGAAGATCCCAGTTAGATTTGATCTTCAGTAACCCATGCTTGTCTGAAAGAGTGACTTTAACAGGATGGAGTGGTTAGAGTATGTGACTGACCCGAAGATCCCACGTTAGATTTTGATCTTCAGTAACCCATGCTTGTCTCTGAAGAGGTGACTAACAGGATGGGGTGGTTAGAGTTATGTGTCTGACTCGACCCAAGTGAAGATCCCGGTTAGATTTGATCTTCAGTAACCCATGCTTGTCTGAAGAGGTGACTAACAGGATGGGGTGGTTAGAGTATGTGACTGACCCGTGAAGATCCCGGTTAGATTTGATCTTCAGTAACCCATGCTTGTCTGAAGAGGTGACTAACAGGATGGGGTGGTTAGAGCATGTGACTGACCTCGAAGATCACGGTTAGATTGGATCTTCAGCTAACCATGCCTTTTTCTGAAGAGGTGACTAACAGGATGGGGTGGTTAGAGTATGTGACTGACCCGTGAAGATCCCGGTTAGATTTGATCTTCAGTAACCCATGCTTGTCTGAAGAGGTGACTAACAGGATGGGGTGGTTAGAGTATGTGACTGACCCGTGAAGATCCCGGTTAGATTTGATCTTCAGTAACCCATGCTTGTCTGAAGAGGTGACTAACAGGATGGGGTGGTTAGAGTATGTGACTGACCCGTGAAGATCCCGGTTAGATTTGATCTTCAGTAACCCATGCTTGTCTGAAGAGGTGACCGAACAGGATGGAGTGGTTAGAGTATGTGACTCACCCGAAGATCCCAGTTCGTTAGATTTGATCTTCAGTAACCCATGCTTGTCTGAAGAGGTGACTCTAACAGGATGGAGTGGTTAGAGTATGTGACTGACCCGTGAAGATCCCGGTTAGATTTGATCTTCAGTAACCCATGCTTGTCTGAAGAGGTGACTAACAGGATGGGGTGGTTAGAGTATGTGACTGACCCGTGAAGATCCCGGTTAGATTTGATCTTCAGTAACCCATGCTTGTCTGAAGAGGTGACTAACAGGATGGGGTGGTTAGAGTATGTGACTTGGTTGACACATGTCATCATGTCCCAATTGCGTAGATTGATGCTCATGATGTTGATCACTGGATTGTCTGGTCCAGACTCGATTATTTACAGACCGCTGCCATACAGCTGGAATATTCCTGAATGCGACGTAAAACTTAACTCACTCACTCATTCAAGATGTTCCTGCCTGGTATCTTATGGAAATAACACAATTGAATGAACAATCTTTTGAAAAAAACAGGAGCATTTTGATGACAAATGAGATAAGTCAGTGCTAGCAAGATGAATTCGTCATCATCCTTTATACCGGGTAGTAAAGCCCGAACCGAGACCACCAGTAGTAAGCTACTGATCCGCGGCACACCGTAGTAAGTGCCGAATTGGACACACGCTGCACTCTGAAAGACATCAAACGTGATCGGCAACAAGCAGCCTCTCACAGATATCTGGCCTAAAGGAAACAACGCTTGTGAGGCAAGTGGCGCATTAGAATAATGTGGTGGTCTATAAGCAAGTGACACATTCGACGGAAACACTGAATGAGAAACAGGCGTAGTAACAACCACGTGAGACAGATGAGGTTGTGGAAGAGGGGCGTAGTCAACACAACAACCCTATAGGTGGAGCGAGTCTTCCAACGTGATGGGGTTATGGCCATGCTGTCGGAACAGTTGTCTTAAGTTCTCACTAAGGTAGGAATCAGGCGCCTCTTCTAGAAAATCTTCAGTAGGAGGCGGGGGACCTCGAGCGGCCGGACTGCCATAGAATTTCTGGCCTTCAACCTTAGTGCGTTTCGATGCCGACCGGACCCTCAGATAGTTGGCGGCGATCTCTATCTGATAATCGTCTACCAGCCACCCGGCGATATGCGATAAATCATCATCATTGAGATCCCCTTACAAAAGTACAGCGGCCGGGACCATTCACATTTGCCTAAACAGTCTACACACAAGGCATGTGGATCCGCCGCTGAAAAATTACTGTTGCATTTATCACAATGCTTTCGTTTCTTAGAACTACTGCGATTAGACTTTCCCATAGTTGAAGAAAAAACGCAAACAAACTTTCTATAGACAAGCACACGTCCACCCGACGCAGCAACAAGAAGGAGAATGACAGGCACAGGTAGTCACATGATCATCTGAGCGAGCTCCACGCTTACAGAGATGATTGACAGGTGCTGATGTCGGAGTGAGGGCAGAGGTCAGGGCAGGTCAGAGGCCAGTAAGATTTGATTCAACTTAGCCTACAGCACGTTTCCAAACATGGTCGTAGAAGAAGAGAAGAGGTGCATACCGTGAGATAGGATAAGTATATAAATATACAATTTATAATAAAATTTTCAATTTTCTACTCTGTCTAGCTCTATTGCAGCTAGCTATATTGACCGTCTATTTCAATAAACTATTAAATTCTTTTGATCAGTCTTTCTACATACTACTTGGACGAGCTAACAAAAACGAATTTGTGAAGAGCTGTCACCCAACTTCGAGGAAAATCTGAACTCAAATGCCTGCCTCCGATTGATCATTTCAACTGCATTGCGATCTGACCGCCCAGCAGCGTGTTGAGTTCAAACTGTCTGTCTTCAGACCACTAGTTTTACCACAAGGCCGTTATTGCGCTGCTGCGTTTCAAACCAAAAGTTACCTCAGCCATGAGCTCGTAGCAGCGCCTGGTAATGCAAAACTGTACCACAACTGGTTTCCGAAGTTGTAAAGGAGTTGTCACAGAACATACATCAGTCTTTGCGTGAAGGAGGGTTTTGTCATTGCCAGAACTGCACAAGTGGTATTACGATATTGAATTGTACTAATGAATGTCTATCATTCTTCATGGCTGTATGGTTCTGAGAATTTCAGGGAATTCAATATTTGTAGCGATAAGTTTTTGGGGGATGGGGGGTCTGTGTCAAACCTTAAGGACTTATATTTTTTATCCTACATTGAACTGGTTCCAAATGGTGGTGTGTTACAGAGTCGAATGTTGGTGTTGTGTTTTCCAGATCACTGCCAGCGGGAACAACCAGTTGAAGCTCCTTCTGGAGAGTCAGCTCCATGGATAGGATGTTTGCGAGCTGAGTATCCAGTGGCACGAGTGACGTTCAGGACCCTGTCAACAACATCATGGTTCAGACAGGTAAGTTGGTTTTGATGTTAGTATTTAGTACTAGGCTGAGTATGGGCCCGGCACCGAGACGTTCCAGGACCCTGTCAACAACATCATGGTTCCGGACAGGTAAGTTGAAATCGCCATTGATGTTGAGTATTAAGTACTGAGCTGAGTATCAGCCGGCACCAAGACGTTCCAGGACCCTGTCAACAACATCATGGTTCAGACAGGTAAGTTGGTCTTGATGTTGAGTATTTAGTACTGAGCTGAGTATGGAGCGCGAGCACCGAAGGCGTTCCAGGACCCTGTCAACAACATCATGGTTCAGACAGGTAAGTTGGTCTTGATGTTAGTATTTAGTACTGAGCTGAATGTTGGCGTTCCAGACAGGTCTGACATATCTTCATGTTTACTGAGTTATGATGTCATTGTTTGGTTAAGATAGTTTGTATCATGTATCCATGTGATATTTCAGATGAAAACAAGGAGATGTTCCTTCCGCTACGCTACGAGCAGTTCCAGCGCTCCGTCATCCTCTGTCCTCAGAATGCCCGAGGCCGACACTTCATCACTGCTCATGAAGACAAGACGTCCACATTCCAGGTATGCTAAGATCAGACTGAGTCTCGGAGTCAGTATAATGTGTCTGAGTGGGGTATTCATGCTTCACTGCGGCATGGTATCTCAGTGGGCTAGCAATATAAAACCAGCTTAAGTCTGGGCTAGTACAAGCAGCCGCACATACACACACACACGCATGCACGTCATCATATGAGCCAAATATTCTCAAGCACGACATTAAACCCAAATTCACCGCACCTCACCTCACAAACTTTGTTTAAGCCTTGAAAAGGAAACTAATACTTAGAAATACCTTGCAATGACAATATGTGTTAATTAATCCACATCTTGTCTCTTTGGTTCCTCACCGCGTCATACCAAATGGCGTTAAAATATGGTACTTGTTGGTCCCCTGCCTGGCTTTCGGCATTAATGGGTACAACAAGGACCCGGTCATTTCGGTGTCAATATAATGTGTCTGAGTGGGGTATTCATGCTTCACTGCGGCATGGTATCTCAGTGAGCTAGCACTATAAAACCAGCTTCAGTCTGGGCTAGTACAAGCAGCCGCGCTTACACATACACACATGCGCGTTGTCATATGAGCGAAATATTCTCAAAGCCCACGACGTTAAACCCACTTTCACCTCACCTCACCTCTTGGTTCGTCAGTACCATATCTTTGACATAGGTCAAAGGGTCAATGTCTAAGGCCTGTTGCACTTCAGGCTTTCATGAAACTGACTTGCCATAATATAACTTGCTTTTTTATTTCTACCATGATTGATGCCGCTAAGTGAGTTTACAGCTGGTGTCTCCATCGCATGGGCGAAGTTTATGTAAACAAACATGTATTGCCCCCATTATCAAAATTCAGTGATTCACGAAGAATTGATGAGAACTAGAGGTTGCGGAGTCATTACTGCAGTAATTGACTTTGGGAAACGTGGAACCGAGTGACTTCTCGCCCAAATTGAAGGTACGGATTATGAGGCAAGATTGCAAGGCTTAATCAGCCTACAGAAAGGTCCCAACCAAGGATTTCTCGCATTGATCAATCACAGCAGACGCATTAAATCGATTCCGGCTTTGCATATCAGAAACTGATATTGATGTGAGGCGGATCACCCGCTGCGATCACACCAAAGGCTGGCATAATACATAATTTTTATTCCTAATATATGATATTAATGAATTCACCGATATGGAACACACCTCGGGTTAATAATTCTATATACTGCCTATAGCAGCATTAAACCCAACTTCACTCACTCACCACCTTCACTCTCACCTCAAGGAAGTCATCATATGACTGAAATACCACCCAAAAACAGCATTAAACCCTGATCACTCACTCACTCACTGTGAATGTTGTGGCCATGTGTTGTAATGCGGTTGTAATCCAGGTGTACCTACAGCCACGCGGAACATTCCCTGTTTGTGTGTACACAATAAGCGCTCCATTGGGCGCATAACGCGGATCCCTACAGATCGACTCATCTTCACGACATCACTGGTGAGCCGGGTGTACGGCCAAGTTAATCATATTCAACCAGCGGGTCAGAGATTATCACTGAGGACTAACACCTAGGTCATTTACTACTACAGTTATCTCCCCTTGAATCTGAAAACACACGATGACATAAACTAACTAGAGATAGTTTAAGTTAATTTTGAGGGTAATTATTTGATGTTTTATAAGATTATAATATTTTATAGAGATGATGATGATAATGATGATGATGATGTTATATCTCCTATAATGTGTAAAAATAACTTGAATGATATGGACATATTTGATAAATATCTTAGATGTGTATTGCTAATTGCAGATGGGTATTGTGGGGAAGGTAAAACATTTGTGGAATATGATATGTGTAGTTAGCCCCTTTGACAAATACAGGATCCGCTTGCCAGGCTAATATACAAATGAATAGTAAATTCCATAACCATAATAACCTCTCAAAGATGACGAATCAATTCAAACAGTACCGCATAATAATGTATATCATCCTGATCTCCAAACACAAATTCCTTTAACTTATCTCAATCCTCAGATCTTTCATTCCAAACAATAACTTTTCCATGATAAAACCAATGACAGTACAACAGATCATGTTAGGGTAACCATAAGTGACACTTGACTGCCCTACTCCGAGGAAGGATGGTAATGGGTTTGTGGAGCTACTCAAACCAGCTATGTTACATGATTGCTTAATATTTTTTACCATCTCAGGATTTTAATATTTTGATTCATCCAAAGAAACCA